AGAGACACACACACACACACACACACACACACACACACACACACATTATCTTGATTTGTCTGGTTACATGAACTGAGAATTTAACTGTCCTTTTTAGGAATGTGAAGTGTGTAGGTAAAAGTTGAGCTTGGAAGTTGACTAGGGTCAGGTGAGCATTTCCAGCCATTTCTCTTGGTAGCTGTAGGATCTTGGACCAGTTAAATTTTAAACCCAGTTTTCACATATTTCAGAGTTGTAATAACAAGATAAACCATGTAAGTCATGAAGTGTAGTTCCTGGCTATGGCAAACCAATAGCGAAGGGTACTAAGGGTATTACCAGCTATCACCATTATTCTGGATATTATCTTAGGACTGTTTTTGTCTGCATGTTCCCAAGTCCTGTGATGCTCTTATTTGTCCCCCCTTGCTTCTCTTTGTTCCCTGAGAATACCTAGAGAACAAGGCCCACATTTTTCTGTAATCTCAGATCCTGGGCCTAGAGAGATGCCTGGCATCCATCACAAGCTCAGCCCATTGGGAGGAACACATAGGTGAATGGATCAATATCACTTTTTTGAAGCTGCATTCTCATGGCTACTCAGTCCAAGCACAAAAGAAGCCACACCCTTCCCAGTTCCCCTGAAGAACTTTGTCTTCCCCACTCCCATGTTCACTCTTTGAAAGTCATCTTGAACTTGACTCAGTACTGACAAGACAAGGTTAAACTATAACTTCTGCAAACTTTTGCCTTACCTAAGTCTAAGGATGACGTCTCTGGGCCCCGGAGAGCCTGGGCCCTCTGCTCAGCATCTGTACTGATGAGATCAGAGCCATCAACTTTTTTCTTGAGGGATGAGCTCTTTGATGAGGGCTCCGATTTCTTGGCTTTGGTTTGTGTTTGAGAGACAGGCTCACTCAGGTCAAGGAGATCCAAGCCAGTGGTCAGCACTATGGGAGACAGAAGAGAGTCAGAGAAGCCCATTTACTTCCTGCAGTTATTATTTATCAATTTATTTTTGTATTTATGTGTAAGTATGTATGTATGCTCAAGGATGTGTGTGTGGAGGGGGGGTCAGAGGACAACCTTAGTTTTGTGCTTAGGAGCTATTCACTTTGTTTTTTGAGACAAAGTCTCTCACTGGACTGGAAGTGGACAATTAGACTAGTCTGGCTGGCATTTGAGCCCCAAAGATCTACCTATCTCTGCCTTCCCAGGGCTGGGATCATACCACCATACCAATTCCTCTTCTTTCTCTTTCTTTAAGTGTGGTTTCTGAGGATGGGACCCAGAGCCTTGTCCTTACTAGCCAACCACTTTACCAACTGAGGTAGCTCTTTAGCCCTCAGTAGTCTTTTTTTTTCCATATAGGTGTGTCAGTTGGATGCATAGAGCCCCTATGTTGATAGGATGGATAAGAGACAGCAAGCCAAGCTGGTTCATCATTGAAAGCTGGCAGGCTGTGAGGCTGGGAAGTTGACTGCATTGCCCTAGGCTAACCCCAGGCAAAAAATTATCTAGACCCATCTCTGCAGTGAGAACGTTTAGGACAAAATTAAAACAAATCTTAGTTCAGGTGTAGTTGCTCTATTGTTCTGATTAATTTCTAGGGAAGGTTTGTTTTAGATTAAGGTTTTTCTAGAAAAGGGTCAATGCTCATAGATTTCATGAAGTCTAATGTACTTTTTTTTTCTGAATTGGGCAGTTTGTTCATAAAATGTCTGGGTCTCCCTTGAGAGGAGTTTTATAATGCAGTTGATGGACAAGCACATGTGCTATCTTCTTGACATTTAGTATGCCAATCTTAATCCCATCATAACCAGCTACAAAACGGTTACACTTTGACTTCCTACAAGGTTGATTTCATTGCATTAAGTACTCCAGTGAAGGCAGAAATAACACTATGTTCCTATGCAAACCCAGTCAAATCAGAACGAATATGGACAGCTTTGAACCTGTTCTTTTTTCCAGTATTGGCAACTCATATTTAACTAGCCCCACCTGAGAAACAGAATGCTGAAAGAGGATACAGTCTCTCTTTTCAGCTCTTCCTCTCTGTGGGCTAGAGAGGTTGAGTGCACAATAGGCCAGGTGCCTTCCTTGGATTCTTCTCTCCATGTAGGGAAGGCAAGAGTGAGTAGAAGAGCCCCTGTGTTGACCTTCCCTGCAGTCTAGAGCAACCACCATAGCACATTCCCCAATCATAAGTCCCAACACATTTCAGCTTGTCCTCTGGGTGGAGATCAGGTATGACTGACAGCTCAATTCCATTCCATCTGCTTTCCACTTGGTTTTTCCCCTTGGCAGAGCCAGGGCTCCACTGAACTCACAAGGGGGGCTTTCCTTAGTCATGCAAGTCTGCCTACACATGTACATGAGCTAGCCCTCCCCCGGGGATTCTCTGGTGTGTGATCAAAACTTGAGTCCCTAACCACTGTGCATCTGATGTGCTTTGAAGGAAGCTTCTGGAACAGCCTGAGTTTCTGCATCTGACAATGGAGGATCAGTAGTCTTATAAGTGTGGGATGAAGAGTAAATGGTCCATGGATGCAAAGTGTCAGGCTTATGCTAAATCGTCACTCAGTAAATGCTATTTCAGGCAGAGGAGGAGGCAGCATAGCACCACAAACCCACACACACACACACACACACACACACACACACACACACACACACACACACACACACACTTTCTATTTCTGAAGGGCCAAATTGCAACAATTCCCTCTTTTTTATTTAGTGTTCCCATTTCCTCGCTTGTTCTGTTCTGTTTCAAGTTACAATCAAATCTACACACAGAGAGAAAGAAGAAATGTTCCTGAGGATAAAACAAGAGACAAGGGTTTTGTCTCCACAGAGGAGTCTATGAAGTGAATTTATCATGAATGGCCTGAAGGTGTCAGCTTGTTGTTGTTGAGAAGATGGGGCCACTATCTAACAAGGAGCTGCTTGGAGAGAGGAGTGCTTGGTGAGTCAGGAGCAAAGTGGGTGGAAAGAGGCTTCTAGAACCAAGTCAACTGGCTTTCTGAGCCAATTTAAGCCTGGCAGGCAGCCAAGACAGGGCTCCATACACTTCCTATTCACTGAGTGGTTAAATGAAACTTCTAGACACTATTGGAACAGCAAGGACTCTAGGCCAATGAAACTTCCTTATGATGGAAGGAATACTCTATATACCTTTTCCAACTGTGTACAAACATTTAAGAATTAGCCTCTTGCTTTTAGACTTCTTTTAGAAGCAAATTTTCTAGGAATTGTGAACTTGTGAATTGAAAGTACATTTGCTACAAAACAGTAGCTGGTGGGGTTTAATTTAATCTCTGTCTGCTCCTGAATGAGGGAACTGAAAATTCACACTAACCAGTCATACCTATCCACTCTGAAGCATCCATGCCGTCATTATTTTTCTGTAAATGCGAAGCTGGAGCATGGTATACACTAAGGCCCTACTGACTGCTTGCCCATTTAATGGAAGCAGTGTCTTAGGGTCAAATGGCTCTGAAGCTTCCACTCCTAGGCATATGCCCAAAAGAAGCACATTCATACAACAAAGGCATCTGTTCAATCATGTTCATAGCAGCACTATCTGTAATAGCCAGAAACTGGAAGAAGCTTAGATGCCCCTCCACCAAAGAATGGATGGAGAAAATGTGGTGCACAATGGAGTACTACTCAGCAGAAAAAAACCAATGGAATCTGGAAATTCGCAGGAAAATGGATGAAACTCGAAGAAACCATTCTGAGCGAGGTAACCCAATCACAAAAAGACAAACATGATATGTACTCAATTATATGTGGATTTTAGACATAGAGTAAGGGATTACCAGCCTACAATCCACACTGCCAGAGATATTAGTAAACAAGGAAGACCCTAAAAGAGACACTTTGTCCCTGGAGAAGGGGAAAGGGTCACCATCCCCTGAGTAAATTGAGAACATGGGAAGAGGGGGGAGGGAGCTACAAGAGTGAGAAGGGAAGAAAAGGAAGAATGCAGAGGTCATGAGGAAGCAGAAATTTTGAGTCAGGTGTAGATTAGAAGAAAGGACATATGACAGGTAGGGTTTTAGTTGGGGGGTGGTAGAGGAGGAAGGGAGGGAAAAGGGAACTGGGATCGTCATGTAATTCGATTTTGTTTGTAATTCAAATATATAAAAAATAAAAAAATTAAAAAGCAAAAGAATAAAAAAAGACAAAAAAAAACCCCAAAAACAACAACAACAAAAATTTAACCGAGAATGAGAAGGGAAGAAAAGGAAGAATGCAGAGGTCATGAGGGAGCGAAAGGTTGAGTCAGGAGTAGATTAGAAGAAAGGGTATGTGATAGGTAGGGTTTTAGTTGGGGGGTGGTAGGGGAGGAAGGGAGGGAGAAGGGAACTGGGATTGTCATGTAATTCAATCTTGTTTGTAATTAAAATAAAAAAAGTAAAAAAAAAAGAAACAAACAAACAAAAAAAGCAGAGAAGATTGGGGCAGCCTTTGATGTCTAGAGGAGACAGCACGTTGTTATGTGTAGGTGCCATAGTCGAGGCTTAAAGTCAAGAACTTACAGTTCCTCCAATGCTTCAAGGTGGCATGCCTGGGCACAAGAGCTAGGTGCTTTGTTCACTTCTAGATTAAATTGAAAGCATTCTCCTAGATGCATGAAGGTACGGGTCCCAGTGCTTTTGTGTGCACTGTAAGAGTACAAGGATCATTGGTTTCCAACAGTGTGTGTCAGAGTGTGCATGAGTGCATACACATGTGAGTACAAGGCCAAGGAAATACCTTCTGAGTATTTCCTAAGCTTTACATTTGCAGCCTTTTCTATGCAGACTCCTGTCAGTCACCATGTACCAGCCCATAGGTGGTGAGTTCCATTGTCTCAGTGTCCTCATAGGGACAATCCAGGAGGGTCAGAGTCTGAGAAGGGAACATGAAGATGAATCTGAGATACAATCTGATTTGATAACAGAAGAAAGTGTAAGCTAGCAAATTGCATGTGTCCTCTAAAGTGGGAGCAAGCAAGCAGACAAGCTTCTATGACCTGTAGAGGAGTCAGTCCCTAGTGGCATCCTGATCAGAGGCCTTCCGACTTCCATAGATTTAAAATACAGACTCACAGTGTTTCAGGACACAATATATGTGGTGCCATGTTATGTAGCAATAGGAATATAATGCAGTTGATTGCTGGCGCCCCTGCTGAGACTCCAATAGAGGCATGCCATTTAAGCCTATCTAGACTTCACCTGAGCATGGAGGCAGTATGTAGACTATTAAAGTGGTGACTCTCTGTGCCCCTTAGATGCCTGGTTATTGAGCAGTTTGCAAAGTTTGAGGCATGATGGTTGTCTCAGAAACTGTCTGTTTTGAATAATCAAGTTCTACTGGGATAACATTTCCTGACAATGGAAGACAATACATGCGAAAGCAGCAGTTTCTAACCATCTCAAGGACACCTGAGATTGATAACCTAGAAACCCAGGGAAGGCCCTTCCAGGTCACTGCAAACTTATAGAAAGACTGGCCTTCTTGAGCCCTGGGAAGTCTGGGTGCTCAAAGCAGAGTAGATTAGCATCTAGGAAGAACTATTGTTTGTTCAATGTATTGTCATAATAGTTCAGCCTTTTTGCTTAAAGAAATAAAATGTAAGGAGAAAGCCCAAACTATCTTTGGCAGTTGCCCTCAGATTTAGTTTCTACTCTTACAAAATCAGCCAGGGTTCTGTCCTATGCATTCCCTCCCCCCATCACACACACACATATCACACACATGCATCTATGACGCCAGCCATAGTTTGTGTCTAATATGTAGGGACCAGCCTATGGCCAGTGACTCTATTAGTGCAGACATAGAAGGGTTCCCTCATCATAGAGTTCTGCTCGGATATGTACTTCTGTGCTCTTCATTAGCTGGGTGTGGTGGTAAATGCTGTAGTTCCAGTACTCAGGAGGTTGATACAAGAGGCACATGAGTTCACTGGATGCCAGGTTGGGCTACAGAGGGAGACTCTATCAGTCAATTCTGTGTCCCTGTAAGCACAGTACTTGACTGAAACAACTTAAGGGAGGGAGAGTTGTTTGGGGTCACATTTCACATCATCATAACGGGAAGTCATGGTGGAGCACCTCAGATCATGGAGTGAGAGACTACACACATGACCAGGAATAACATAATAGACTTAATTTTTTCTTCTTTTTTGTAACCTATGAAAACGTTTTTGCTAAAAAAAAAAAGGAACTGTTGTTTGAGGTCAGTGTGGTGGTACGTGCCTTTATCTTAGCACTAAGGAGGCAGGAACAGGCAGATCTACGAGTACTAGCCAGCCAGGGACAAATAGTGAGACCTTGTCTAAAGAAACAGAGAAGTCTTATTTTGACAAGTTGGTGGAAGACATTCTGTTTTTAATACAGTGTGTAAGGAAGCATGATTTAGGAAGGCAATCATAGAAACTTTCAAATATATCTACCAAATAGATAAACTGTATTTAATTAATTAAGTCAACTTTTTATTGTAATGTCATTGAATTTACTCAGATTTTTCTTTTTCCATTTGTGTGTATGTACCCATGTGTATTGTGTATGTGAAGTGTTAATCTAATTAACCCTAATCAATAAAAAAAAATCAGGAGTCAAATATTGGGACAAGATCCTGAAAGACCAGAGAACACAAGGAGCAGCTGCCAGTTGCTTCCAACCTCTCTTGTTTCTCCATCCAAAAGGGCCCAGATCCTCTTTCTGCCCTGCCTTACCACTTCCTGTCTCTCTGTACAGTCCTCCAGACCTCTATGGTTAACTAGTGAATGGCTCTGCCCTCTGACTCCAAGCAAGTTTTATTTGTCAGAACACAAACAACATATCACACAACATGTATGCATGCTCTATATATGTGTGTCTATGTCTGTGTATGTTGTGTATGCATGCATGTGCCCATGTGTGCTGTATATGCATACTGTGTGTGTTGTGTATGCATGTCCTGCATGTATGTGTCTGTGTAGGTTGTGTATACCTGCTCTGCATGTGTGGATGCATTTGAGGATCCTAGATTAATATCAGGAATCACTTTCAATTGCTCTTCCACCTTATTCATTGAGGAAGAGCCTCTGAAACCCAGAGATTGTCAACAGTGAGTCTTGCTAGGCTGCCTGTTCTGGAGGCCCTGTCTCCACACCAGAAGATCTGGACTCTGGTCTTCACTCTAGGTTGCCTGGCAAACACTTTAACAATTGAGTCATGTCTCCAGCCCCTGCTTCCCAGATTTCTAAGCTTTTCTGAGTCATGTCACTAGCTTCATAGCCACTTGGATTTCATAAAAAATATTTTAGTTAAAGATATTTTGTCATGTGGCTTATGTACAGAAGTCCCAACGTAAGTACATTAGCTATAAATAAAAGAATGAAACTAAAAAAATGATAAACCATAAAAAGTTCCCTCCAAACTAACTGTTGGTCTAATGACTCAACCTCTCCTCAGCTTCATAAACCATAGCAAGGACCCCCACTTCTCTTCTTGATCTCTGACAAAGAATCTGTCCTGTGTTTTAACATATTCATAGTCATTAAATTATAAAACAATATATTGTAAATTTTGTCATTACATGCTACATGTATGACAATCTAATCATTTAAATTATCTGTTGTTCAGTGGCATTCAGGGCATTTATTATTATCAGCCTGTATATAATATCTACTCATTTGCTTTTTTTAAATCAATGATGCCACAGTTTGTGATCTCAGCTGCTTGGGAAGTAGGTGGTTCAGAATTTGTCTGGGATGCAGAGTGAGTTCAAGGCCAGCATGGACAATTTAGTAAGGATGTGTTTCAAGAAATAAAAAAGTAAAAAGAATGTTGGAAGAATAGCTCAGCATGTTTGAAACTTGGGTTCAATTCCCAGCACAGAAAAAAAAAATCATGGATACATTATTTTCTCTTATTAAACAATAAAGCTGAAGATATGTTCTTTTAAAATTAGGGAACAATTTCATGACTTTGGAAAAATACTTCCTACATTGTTTACTTTGTAGTGACTTTTGTAAGAATCACATTCTTCAGGGATTTAAAAATAATGCAATTTTTGCCTTGAGATATATTTTTAACCTTGTAGCACAAAGTGTCCAACACAGGATGACTGGAAATCACCATATGGCAGAAAAGATTCAGAATATTGCATTATGGATTCAATGGATCTCCACCCCCTAGGTAGAAGCCCCCACACTTCAGAAAGTGACCACATTGGAAATGTGACTAAAGATGAAGCTGCTCTGGAGGTGGCCAGGACACAATCCCAGGATGAAACATATTCTCATGTAAAAGGGGAATTTGGAAAGGTAGTTGTGCAGACAGAGAGATAAATGTTATCTGCACACAAACAAAATCCCACATGAAGGTTGAAGTCCTATGTCCCATCCAAGGGACCAATAGTTAGGATTAGAGATGTGGGAACAATGTCTTCCCAAGTGCATGAAGGAGTGTGTCCGGCCAGCATCTTGATGTGGGGTTTAGAGAGTCATGACTCTGCTCTCTCAGCTTGTAGCAGGCCAGCAAAGCAGGGGCCTCCAGTACCAGCCTTCCCAGTGCTGGGATTATATGCATATGCTTCCATGCCTACTTGCTTTTGATTTTTAACATGAGTTCTGGGGGTTGAACTCAGGTTATTATGTTTATGCAGCCAGTGTTTACTGACTGTGCCACTTCCCAGGCCCCAGGGTTGTCTGCTTCTAAGTGGCTTCCTTTCTTCATCAGTGGGAATTGAACAGTGACAAAGAGCTTCCTCAGTGCATCTGATTTTTTTGTGAGTCACTGGCTGTGTGTTTTCTGGGATAGCTCTCCAATTTCAGAGGGCTGAGGCCTAGCTTCAGAGGTTAGGATCTGATAGTCTGAATTCATTTTAATGCTCCCTTTAGAATGCAGCAAGCGCCATTCTATGTTCTTGAGCACTCCAAGTGACAGCTGGATTTAGAAAACAATAACTTGGGTGTGACATCAAGTAACAAGAATGCTGTTACCTGGCATTAATCGGTATGGCCTCCCTGGCTAGAGTTTATCACTGTTAGCACACCCATAGATGGCTTCATTCTTTTTCTCCAGTATTTTATAAGGAAAGGATCATCCTATTATTAGGTATGGAAAGTGAGGCTCAGCTTTGCTACCAGACAAACAAGGGAAAGCTGTAGCTGGCCCCACGGTGCAGAGCTGTGAGGAGAATGCAGGAGGTTTTTATCTCCCAATCTTCAGATTATCTACTCTTCCACCTGGGCTGCCACCATCTGGCATTAGCTCCTCCTCCTGTAGTAATTTTTAGCTATAGTAATTTGGAAAAAGCATCACTTTTTTTTTTCCTATCTGATTTTCTTCATGTAGGATTCTAAGTGGGGAAAAACTAAGTTACTTGCTAGTGGAGACCACTGTGGACAAGTGGAGCTAATTTAAGAAGGAAGTGTGAGATCAGGCTCTTCTTTATATATTAGTAGGCACCGTCCAGTCACTATAATCTCTGGCTTCCCATCCTAAAACACCACACTTCCCTCATTCTTGGAAGAGCACACACATTGTTGGATAAAGGGGTAGAAGTGGGAAGGAACCATTAGCAGAAGGTAGAACCGACCAGAGGCCTGCAACAGTCTTCCCTTGGATTGATGATTAAATGCTCATGCCTACTCATGCCAAGCACTGAGAAGAAGAGGGTTTCTGTTGAGAATGCTTAATTCCAGGAAGGGTTTGTACAAATCAGAATGCTCAGGTACTTTGAAAGAGAGAACAAGGAATATATTTAAATGGCTGTACAATATCCTACAACTACAGGGTACTTTAATTGTCACTTAACTCTACTCAGAAAGACTACTGCAACATTTTTATTTTGTTGGACTGTTGTTTCACAAAATATGTTCAAAACTAAGTGGACCATAAAGATGAATTTACACAATCTCACTCTCAGATGGCAGCTTTCCTTTATAACATGGTGGGTTTGGAAATGCAGAGAGGTAAATGAAGAAGTGTATGCACCAAGAACTGAGTGAGAACAGCAGTATATTTAAGGGCAGAAAAGTCAACTGGGTAACGGATGATGTAGTTTCTTGTGTAATCAAAAGTCATTTATTAGTTTATGCTGAATTGTATACAGGCCAGTCACTTGGTTGCAAACATCATCCCCCACTTAAAAGGCCTGGAGGAGGGGATGGTGAGATGGCTCAGCAGGTAAAGGTGCTTGCTGCCAATCCTGACAAATTGAATTCAATCCCTGGGACTCATACAGTGGAAAAGAATCATCTCTCACAAGTTGTCCTCTGACCTCCATAGGTATGTTTCAATATGCGAATGTCCACACCTACAAATAAATAAACAAATATACCTCCCCCTACTTCTTTAGGAAAATGCCTGGGGGAAAATACATGCATTTATAGGCAAAATGCATCCCATTTGAGCATAGTTAGAAGTGAATTACCGGCTGTGTTGGACGTTACTGGCTTTGCAATGGCCTCGGATTTGGTTTCACAGAGGAAGTCATCGATGGAAGGGCTCAGGAGAGGTCTGCTTTCTTGTTGCTCACTCACCAGCTGAGAACAAATGAACACAGGCATCAAAGGGTTTCTCTGCTAAGCTGCTGAAGCAGGTGAATGAAAACGCAGCCCTGCAACACAAGGGGACAAGCAAGCCCTACTGAAATCAACACAAACAGAAATAAATAATGGGGTGGGGCAATAGAGAAAACAAAACATTACCACAGGTGAGGAATGAGCCTTCAGCATTGTTAATATATTTTTGATGCAGCCAACTTCAGTGTTAAAGCTTAAGCCTGTTTCTCTCTCTCCTGGAGTGGCTTTAGAAGCATCTCTGGTTTCAGCACACGAGAAAAGATACCTGTTCCATCACAGTTGCTATGTGCTAATGCCACTCTCTATCTGGACTGAAAGTTCTAGAAAGCATTGGACCAGTGGCTTCAGATTCCATGGTGATGGGCTCTCATGAGGACTAGCTACTTGGTGTTTATGGGTGAGATGTACACACACATGGACCTGTGTAGTGTTGGATGAACTCTACTTTTGTTCCCTTTTTAAAAGCTCAAGGTGCCTAGCAGCCTCCTCCTGTCATTTCCTTAGAATGGTTTTGTGTAGGACATAACAAATATTATCTGAGATAAAAAAATATAATTATATTACCTGTCTGGGAGTCTAGTGGGTGTTTGCAAAAACCTTTAGTCTAATGGGATTAGATTCCTATAAGCATAATCCTATTTTTCCACTAATTTATTATATAATTTAATAATTTGTTAGACTCAAAATTCTATCTGAAAACTGTTTTATTGGGTTCCTAATTACTGGTAGTAACCAGCTATTTACTGCTTCACTTTGACTCCGTACTTTCTATAGTTAAGGGAGAAAATACACATGTAACACGTAGTTAATCTCTAACTTGGGTGTCTTGATGTCTGGGAGAAGCAGCTGTTTGGTTCTACTTGTGGTGAAGGAAAAAATTGTGCCTCAAATACCCTAGAATTTTAATAACTAACCTGTCAAAGTTTTAATTTTTTTAAAGAACATAAATTAAGAAACAATAGGCTTTGGTGTATTGCCAAGTCGAAATGTAGAACTCCATTCACTATCATGTCATTGAGTGTCATCAGAGCTCAGTGGTCATCAGAGACTGGGCACCCAAGCACACAGCTGTTATGTCAGTGCACCAAACCTCGATTTTTATAGGGAATTTTCTTTTCGAGACAGGGTTTCTCTGTGGCTTTGGAGGCTGTCCTGGAACTAGCTCTTGTAGACCAGGCTTGTCTCAAACTCATAGAGATCTGCCTGTCTCTGCCTCCTGAGTGCTGGCATTAAAGGCGTGTGCCATCACTGACCTACCCTTTATAGAGAATTAAACATTTGATGTTCATACATACTTGTGCATATTATAGAGGTATACCATAGTGATCACCCTTCTTTTAGTGTTTAAGTTAATGGCATTAGTCTTTGATTATTGTTAGTTTTAATGTTACTACATACAAAGACACACTTCACTGGGAATCACATTTTCTAAGATGGGGGTGGTTTTAACCCTTGTTGTTTGTTTTAAAAGATGTTCCTTTAACATATGAATGAAATTCTGATCCCTTTGCCTTTTGTTTTCTCACTATTCTCCTTGGCTATCCCCCATACTGTTTATTTTGAAAAAGTTTTAAGTGTTCAGGGTCTGTGAGCTCCCTGTAGTTTCTTGGTAAGACATTTGAGACTTTAAGAATGCTGTGGTCAACTCAAGTTTAGGAATTAGCTGAAATATTTTCTGGCATAAAAGTCCATTTTATGATCTGAAGATGTACTTGAAATCACTGTCAAGGCATTAAGATACCAGAAAATGACAAAATGGCTAACCCCCAGTGATTCTGTGTCCAGAACTGCCTCTCATGCAGGCAGCTTGAGTACAACTTTGTGCAGGGGACAGTTTCTAGGACCCAGGCATCATTTTGGGTGCAGTGATGGCATTTGCTCTCTTGTCCCTTGGTATTTAATGAAATGAACTTTTCCTGTGTAGAGTGGTGCGGATGCCACTGTGCCAAGATTTCTGGAGGCTGATGATCACCATCAAGCATTGCAACCACACTGTGCTCTGAGATGTTCCTCTAACAGCACGGGCTGCTTACCAGCCCCCTTGGCCTTGCTAATGTGTGTGAGACACAACACCCTGTGACTTTAAAAGTATGAATACTTATGTATAATGCCACAGCTATTTCTTTGATAATCAGGGCTTTTCTAGAAAGTCTAATTTCACAAACAGATAACTATGTATAACTAAATTCTCTTTGTGTTTATTTAAAAAAAATACTGGTTAAGTATTTCTTGAGTAACATTTTGGTTTGGAGAAGAATTTAGATAGTGTTTGGTTTTGAAATGTTCGTGTATACAAAAAGGCTGACTTAGGGACAAGACCTATGTCCAAACACAAAGTTCACTTATATTGTATTTCATACATACCTTGCACACATGCCTGAAGGTAAGTTTATGTAATGGGTTTTGTGTGAGTGCCTCTGTTTCAGCTGACACATGCCCTTTGAAGCCAGAGGCTTCCACTCACAGCTCCATATTGGAGCTTGATAAGTTTTGGATCTTATTTCAGAACAGGAATGTTCAACCTGTATCACTTTTAGTAATAGATAAACACAAGTTATATTACAAGAAATGTTCTGTGGCACTCCCGTTTCCAAAAACAATGAAGGGCTAAGAAGTTATCCCTGAATCCTGTACACATGGATTCAGAACAGGCCTGGGTTTCTATAGCTTAAGATACTTTTAGTTCTTAATGCCGAAAACCACCCTGTATATTTGGTGAATTCCAGAAAAACCATTGTTTATATTAACATCTAAATGGAAAAACAAATGAAAGGTACTACTGAATAAGGGCTGTCTTTGGAACAGCATGCTTGCCAAAGGCAAGAAGACTTTGTTGGTGTTGCAGTCACTCATTCCAATTTCCGATGGAATCTCTGAAGGAAGGAAGAACCAGCAGCCCACTCAGATTCACTCAGCACCAGAGGAATGAGAACCAGGCGAAGGTGGCCCAGAATGATTCCATGAAGGCCAGGGCAGAGTCATGTCTCTCCTTTCTGCTAGATTTCTGCCCCTGCAAGGCTGGTGCCTCTTCAGCATCCAGTGTCCTGTTTCTGACCACTGCTGACTCCAGGATTGATGGGAGCTCTGTAATGGCCACCTTATATTGCTATGTCATTCTTGAGGTTTCACTCCAGAGACACAAAACAAGAGGGCACAGCGAACAGCCTTTAGAGTTAGTGTTTCTCATGCTGGACCAGTGTGGTGGTGCTCTGGCTGCAGTGGGATGAGGCTAGGGTTCCAGGTGGACGGTCAGATGACAGAGAGCATGGAACAGCCATTAAAATGGGTCAGAAAGAGCTTGGGCTTGAATAAAGACGTGGAAGATGGGGTGAGAGGCATCATGAAGGCAAAGGAAGATTCTCTTACAGGACCTGAGGTTAGACACAACCGCAGCTCACCCATTATAGCCTTCACGCTTCTAGTAGGGAAATTTCATGCAAAGGCTGTTCCTGAAAAGGCTGACAAATGAGACAAGGCTTGGCAAGAACTTAAGGCACAAAAATGTGTATCTCACACAGTCCAATTAAATAGACTGAACACTGCTTTAGTCACAGCAGTGGAATTTTAGTGTGTAGACAGGATCAGCTTTCCCCATGTCCTCCTTCTCATTCTAAAACAAGCAGTTTTCCTCATGGTGATTTAAGAACAAATGAATCTTTCAGGTCACAAAGAAAAGGTTCAAGCTGAACGGAATCTCCAAATAATTCTGCTAAACTTTACTTTGAAATTGTGTGCTATGGATTCCTTCCTCATTCAACAGCAGGAAGAAGTTCCGGAGTTTAGAGTTACTTCAGTTGTCTTATATCACTTTATCAATTCCTCTCACTTAAAGCTTTGGACATGGAGCACATTGGTATCATTAAAATGTGCCTCAAACGTTTCTAATTCTTTGCTGATAACTGAGTCAGGTGGTTGCAATTTTGATAATCAGTTCAGTCAAATTATCATAGCTGAGTTTCAAAGGCCCACTTCATTAGGTGTAAGGTTTTTGTCTCTGTTCACAGCTTTACACTTCCGTTTCTTTTCTGACTGTGGTGTCTTCTCAATGTTTGCATCAGTTCAGAGGTCACTGGGGACATAGCTCAGTGAGAGAACATGTGCCTAGCATGTGCAAGGCTCTAGTTTCCCAAGCACATGCAAAACAAGCCCCATGGTTGTAATGGACACTTACTTCCCTTGCAGGAGTCCCTACAATGGTACACCTTGACCTTCAGTGCAGGGGAGTGAGCACCTTTGAAATCATCTCCATATCTGTGCTTATATAGCACCACCATCTTAGTTTTAAGGGTTTCCTCCTCACTAGACTAGAACTGTCACGATATTAGAGACTTTTTAAAATCTTTTTTTGCACCTTATAGTAGTGGTTTAATAAATGCTGACCAGTTTAATGCAGTGTAACTGGCTGGTTTTACAGCAGAATAATTACTTGGACATCTTGGACTTCATACTGAATTTGAGCAACCCATGGCAAGATTAGTGGTCTTTCAAAATGCTAAGCAACTTCCTAGAAAGCTTTAATCTATATGTTCAGGTCCATTTCCTTCCAGGGGTGTGTCTTTTAAATGGGTAGTATGGTGGCACCTAATCAGCATTTTGTAATTGGAGTAAGGCTGCTGGTTTTTCTAGAAAGAGGTAAAAAATGTCAAGAATTAACATCTAAAGCAGTGGACATTCATTCAGGCATAAGCCAGCCCAGCGTCACTACCACTGGCAAGGATGGCATGGACACAGATGATTGGGAGGGCAAAGCCACTTCAAGACAATCTCCTCACCCATTTTTTATTTTAAATCAGAAACCTGAATCTGGAGAGTTTGAGGGAAGATATTTCAGAAGACATAAAAACTGGGGTACTGAAGAAGGTAGGTAGCTGAGAATTTGTATGAAGGGCTTCCTTATCAATCAGGAATCAAAAAACAATTGAGCCTTTATGCTTTGTTGTTAATCAAATATTCATCAAGTGATTTCAATTGAATTGTTACCTATTAAAGACTGGTCAGTTGACGTGGTCAGTAGCTGCTGCCACCCAGATGCAGGTATCACCACCAGCTCTGATGGATTACTATCGATACTTTATTTGAAAGTATAACTGCCTCAGTCCCATTTTAATTCCTCTAGTTTTAGTGTTTTAAAAAAGTAAATTTTATTATGCAATCTATTTGAACCAAATTGTAAGGAAATATTTTACTTAAAATCATTGCTTTTATTTTTTGAGATTATAATAGAATTAATTACATCATTTCCCCTTTTCCTTCCTCATTCCAACCCCTCTTTGCTCATTTTCAAATTAATGGACTCACTGAAAAATATTTTACTTTTAAATACATTCTGTTACTTAAACAAGGGTTATAATTATGTTACTCTGTGACTAAAATTTAACTTTATCTTCAAACAAATCATTACTTAGGTTTTTCATTAAAAGATATAGAGTGGAAATTTGTGTCTGACAACAAAGAAAAATGCATTTAAGATAATCAAACAGCACATGAGATATTAATTCCTGGAAGAAGCAATGATTTCACTTCAGGTCAATATTGCGCGCTGTTGCTTAAGCATTTCAACAATTAAGGAGTAATTTTTAAAGTTAAAACAATAAAGCTGGTGTGCAGGCCAGTTTTAATTGTCCACTTGATACTACATAGAAATGCCAGAAGAGAGTCTTAATGAGGGATTATTTAGGTCAGGTTGGCCAGTGGGCATGTCAGTGGGGGATTGCCTTGATTATTAACCAAGGTACAAACACTGAGATTACTGTGGGTGGTATCATTCCCTAGGCAGGGGGCCCTGAATAGTACAAGGAAAGAGAAAGCTAAGAGCAAGCAATCATGAATGTATACACTCTCCTTTTCCTCTTGACTGTGAATGTGGAGCTGTAGGTTGACTTCCCTACAGTAATGGGCACAGCCTGGAACTGTAAACCAAATAAACTCCTTTCCCCCCAAGGTTTCTCCTTGTGAGGGTATTTGTCCCAGCAACAGAAATGAAACCAGAGCAGCTATAAACTGGAAACAACTGATAAATAATCTCATCTTTGTAATGTTGATGTAAATATCATAGTAATAGGCACTGGGAATTTTAAGTTGGATTTGTGTCTATGGAAGCAAAGGACATATATGCACCTGTGCATTTAAAAACTACCTTATTGTGTGTGACATTGTTGGTTTGAAGTGTATGTCAGTTGTGGCGTAGGTTTTCATTTATCATTTTGTTATAGAACTACTTCATAGCTTTTTAATTCCATACATATTTAGAATTCATTCAATATCCATCAAAATAGTGATCTTAGGTGGGGGATTCTCTAACATGGAATGTAAGCTGTCTAAGTCTACTAATAAGTTAACCATCATGCAGCCCTTAAACAGTCTGGCTTCAGAGTCTGGTCACATGCCTACCCTGGTACCCTAAAGCTTCAGGTATCTGTGTACTAACAGCTCTGACCAGGCTCCACCCCATCACCCATGTTAGTTCTTCTTGTCACCGTCAAGGTAAAACATCCTCCAAATCCTTGACAATCATACTTTCTCTAGGCAGGACAGTTAGATATATAAAATTAATCCATTTGTGGAGAAAGAGACTGACAATGCCATTCCACAGTTGGGCAGTGTTATGACTTAGGAAGGTAGGTGCATACACTTAAGGCAATCATTTTAAGTTGATGATAGGAACCCAAAATGAGGCTATGCTTAGTCACCTTGAGAACATTTTCTCAGTTAAGGACATTACTCTTTTCATTCTTTATCAAACACAGAAAAATCAAGATACCTATGGAAGGATAAGAAGTGGGAATGGATACAGCATGGCAGTGGAGTAGGAAGGAAAGTGCCCTGTAGGCAGAGGAGATGTAAAACTCAGTTCTAAGACACTGTGCTTGGAGGAAAAAGGAGCCGGGTACACCTTTATTTAAAAAGCCAGAAGATCAAATCCGTCAAAATGAAACTTTCTCAAGTTTCCTCCAGAGAGTAATGTACTCACTAAGCCCATCTTGTCTCATAAAAACAAACCCTCATTTTCCATGGCATAATCTTTGGGTACATGAGTTTCTGTCTATCATAAAATTAGGTCTGCTTATAGTGTCACAGTTTACAGCAGTGCTGCTTAATATAAACAATAATAACCTTACACTGTAAAAACCTTCCGTGGTAATTAACAAGTAAAAATAATTTCAGCAACATATTTAACTCAGCATCTCCAAAGTATTTCAACTTGTGATCAATAAAAATTATCGGTGTGATACTTTGCATATTTTGGGATTAAGCATTCAAAGCTTTTTTTTTTTCTTTTTAAAATGTTTGCAGCATATCTCAGTTTCCAGAAGCTGGATGTGCTCAGTGGCCACGTGACACCAGGCCTGGAGGAACTTTTCCCCCAAAGATTTGGCAATCTGCATTTTCCCTTCAAACCTTTCATCAATGTATGCCTGTTTACAAACTGTTTGAGTTGGCATTAATTTAGGGCAGCATGAACTTGGACTTGTTTGTTCCTACAGAAGTAGTAATTATACTTTCTGGGGTCTAGTTTTTGAATCCAGTCATCTGGGTAATTCTGCTGCTTTGTTTCATCTATTGAAGATGATATCACTGGAAAATGCCTAGCTAAATCCTTATCCAAGTTCTAGAACAGACTATTGGAATCACTATTTTAAAATGTTGAAATATTGAGCTGCTGAGTAAACAGTTACTGAATGTCTTATTCTGTATTTATCTTTTATGATTATCCCGAGAGGTTAGCAATTGGCTTCAGACATGCCTGGTGTCTATGACTTGACATCTGACATTGATATATCACGGATGAAGATGAGTCCTTGTACTGAGCAATATGTAGTGCTATGCCATAGTGGTCTTTACAAGAGACACTGGGACAAACATGTCAAGACAGTAGGACATTCACACAGGTTAACAAATGTGGCATGGTAGACGGACTGGATGCTGTGGTTGCCATGGGAAGTACTCACTTTTTCAGCTCAGTCAGCTTCTTTTGGCTTGTGCATGACACTGGTGCATACCAGGGAAAAAGCCACTTGTGTGTCATGTAAAAAACATATCATCTAATAAAACTACATTTGGTTGAGAAATTAACTCTATCACAGCTGTCACTGAGTTCCATAGAATCATCATTACAACAAGTGCATCTCATTTTATGAATCAGAATGATTCATAAACTGGCCAATATGCAATAAGGATACAAAGCATCAAAGAAAGCGTTACACAATCTTCATGCAGTAAAGTCATAACCAGTCTCTCAGAAACAGTCAACACAACACTAGACAGAGTTAAAAGGGCACACACAAATGTTCTGAATGTGAGAGGATGACAATATTCATGGTTTCGCTAATGTTCATATCATACATGTGAAAATAATTACTGGGAAGTAACAGCAAAATGTAAGGTTTGGGAGACTTTGGGGGATGACTGGAGCCTGTCTTAATTGTGGTATCCCAAGATGCTGTGGTAAAGCATAAGAGCCAACATCATTACAGGTGTGTGGCCCATCAGCTGCCTGGAATGCCAAGTGCTCACCTGCCAATCATTCACAGAAGTATTATGGGCTGGATATTTTGCATGTAGGATTCACAAAGGTCTGACTCTGATGGGCAGGTGATCATTATAAAATGGTATATACTTCATGTCAATTCAGTAAAGGACAGGCAACTTGATGACACCAAGGGAAAAACATCTTTTCTTTATGGACAACTACAACAAATCCACTCTGACAACATAAAATTTCCCAATCCTAGAAAACTTTAATAACTAAAAACTTTATTTAATTTTGGCGTTATATAATTTTCATCACAACGTGGCATTTAGAATAAAATAAAACCACACATGTTGGCAGCAGCTGGGCGCCAGATCTGCTGATAGTCTGAAAATAAGCTGCCATAATTTAGCTTTTGACAGAAATGTGCTTCATGGGGGCTGTAAATGGGCATTTTTTCTAATTCTAGGCGTGCGCATAATCGGGAGAGAATCGCTGCATTTACGAATGCGTTATGGAAGAAATGAAATGTTTAACATAGCAACCTAATCTAAATTATAAGATAAATGCAAGAAAAATATTTTTCATCTCAGAATTTAAAACTGGAAACTGCACAGGGTGGCGATGAGTCGAGCTATAGATATTTATGGAGACTTTTACAGGGTGTTTCCAGAGTCCCCAGTCATGTACAGGATCAGTCTCAGTGCGTCTCCAAAGACACATGTGGACTTCTTTCCGTGTGTGTTACAATAAAGGCTGAAAATGGCCCTTTAATGCTAGAATAGAGATGGTGTTTCCTCATCAAGACCACTAAGTGTGGGGAGGAGCAGAGAGCCATTTTCTGCATGGAAACTCGGGGACTTCCGGCTCATTCCTGTAACTTAGTTATCGACATAAATATGTATAGACAAATGTGTAGTATGCAAAGTTACAACAAATATATTTAACATTTAAGAAAATTTAGAGCATCTACTGGTAAACTGACATATGTATACAATACAACTGGATTTATTCAGGAATTCGATTTTTCCTTGTTATTGGTTATTTCTCAAAGTCAACAAGACTCCTTTTAAAGAAGCAGAGTGTTATACTTGTACGCATATTGTCTTAATTTTTAAAACTAATGTTGAGTAATGAAAATTAATATTCATGATCAAGAACTAATTTTTTTCTTTTGCAATTTTGGCTTTCATTTATACTTGTACAGTTGTTTCATTGAAACTGCTTAAAAGATTGGCTTGAGTTAGTTTTGTTTTTTTTTAAATCTGATGATCACATTTTTTGATACATTAACATATGTCAGCTTCCTACAGGAACCCTATGGGTCTGCCCACCTGTGATGTCACAGTAAGGAGGGGCTTTTCTTCTGCAGACTCCTCCCTCGGTATCTCCTTCATCACCATGGCAACAGCCTTATCTGCAGCCCTAGAGCCTTTGCCCTACAACAGTGAAACCAACAACGAGTGTGTCAGGAGGCGTCTTGAAGTTATTTAGGACAAAATAGGCTAATGTTTAAAGATCAATCCGACATGAGTGAAGAGGTGGGCTGCTGCCAGGGAATCTTGAGGCTTTTGGCTGAGGAGAAAACACACAAAATCTGAAAGATTATTTGTGAACTTTTAGTTAGCTACTTTTTTCACCTTTCACAGCGGACCTGTTTAACATAGTATTTTTATATGTATAATATATTTGAAGGCAATTAACATGAGAGGAACATATTTTTATAGTATGAATTTTAGCATGCTATGATTTCCTGTTATGTTCGTTTATAAATTATGGCAAGACAGCCCCTAGATATTTTGGTTTGAGGTAGAGATTAGAGCCAGGATCTGATTTGCTAAGAGCTTTCACTGGGTTTTCTTGGACTCTCATTTTTCAGTGAATTTGGCATAAGGAATATACAAACTTTATTTCTTAAGTATTCTACCACGGCTTCACATACCAGGGTTTTACCCATGGTGTTCTGTGGGATGGTCTGACTCGAGTCAACTAGAATTTCTTCCCCTGATTTCAATGATTTGAGACCAAGAAACTTCAGTACAATTTTAGACATGTCTTTTAATTGAAGAATTTTATAAATACACAAGTAAAATAGTCCTGTTGGGGACTATCTTGTATCTGGTGTTGGTTTGTCTCACAGAAGGAGAATTGTGAACCACCAAGGGATGTTATCCTTCTGTCCTTTGAGTTGACCAAATTTTCAAGTTTAGGAGAGTAAATATGGGTATGTCATCATGGAACAAAACAAAACAAAACACCACTTTCCCAATAATCTCTTGGTACTTTCAAAACAAAAACTTTCATTTGTTTCAGGTCTCTTGCCAGAGCCTCCCTGGAGAAAATCATTTTATACTAAAAGAACATAGAATATTTGTGTTGTCAATTTACTTAAGATATAGCTGTCTCACGGAGAGACATGTGGACAGGTGTTAATGTGTGTGTTGAGGGGAGCATTGCCTGGAAAGGGAATTAACTCCAGAACTCACAGAGCTCGACAGCCTCACCTATGCAACAAGGGAGGGCTTGGGCTATATTTTAGGTGTTGCAAGGACATCTGAAAACAGGTTCCATTCAGGGACAAAACCTCTCCATTTACTCAGGTTCTAACCTAAAATGTAGCCAGACACAGCTTATATTTATAGCAAGAAAGGAAACCTTTATGTACAGTTACTAGATTTTAAGACGTGTTTGTTTTGGCTTAAGGGCTGCATTATCAAATGACAACGTGCTCCTTTTCAAGATGAATAACAGGTACTGGAGCTATAATTTCACAGGTGGATCATTAAGCATTTGCATATGTGTTGCCAAAAGACTGCATGGCCTTGATCCTTGGGTTCACTGACTTCGGAAGAATAAAGGGAAACTTGATGTTTCATTGCAGAGTCAATTGGGGTAGACAAGAACTCCAGGCTTCCTCTTTAATGAAGCAATGTGACTGTCCTAAAATAGATAATAGCACAATTCTGAATTCTGGGGAAAGATGGATTGGGATACTATTCAGCCATTTAACATGTCTTTCAGATATTAACATTGTTTGAGTGAAACAGTGCATGCTACTAACTTACTATATGTTTATAGGCTATGCTCATTTATAGAAAAATAACCATCCTATAACATTTATTTCTGCAACTTTTCAAGAACAAAATCATTTGCGAAGAAGTCTTTCCATGCTCTAAGACGTTCTACTAATATAGCAATAAACAAAGTGGCATGCTTATATTCAAACCCTACTATATTTAAAGGACCGAATCTAGTGTTACAAGGTATAACTGAAAAGCAGTAACTCAGACTCTTCTTGCGATGAGAAGGAAGATATCAATTGATAAGCATCTCAAAAAATTTCAGGTGTATTTTTCGAAATGTCATTTATTTGAAATGCTACCAATCTAGGAACTACAAAGAGAGAATTTTTACATGTGCAACTATAGTAGCTAGAATTAGCAACAGACATGCTTTTTACTAAAACCGAAACAAAAACCAAACAAAAATTAGTCCTTTCATGCTGAACTCTAGAACAAAGCAGTGGTCGGCTGAAAGGTTGAATCATAAACACATGCGGGGCTTTGCATTTCTTGCAGAAAAACCCACCAAAGCCAGGGTCAGGTCACTTTTTTGAAGACAGTGCCATTTTTTCTTCAAGGTTACACCTACTACCTGGAAAGAGTCATGATACCTGGGTTAGTTCCCTGTTGTAACTGTCAGCTTTAGTGCCAACACCCCATGAATTTTGTCGTTTAACAAATGTGATCCAGTCTGAGCAGAGGGAAACCCTGCAGGTTCCATCTTTGTGGCTGCAGAAAGGGTATCTGAGAGCCCATGGTGAATCCACTCATCTATCCAGGGCCCCCTCCTATCCTACTGTCACCTTCATCTGCTGTCCTCCATTCAGGCTGTTATTTCTGACTATCCTCCTAATTTGTAGAATGCTGCTCCTAAAATCTAGAATCCAGCTGGTATGTGATATGGTGACTTTGCTCAATTTTGCCATCAGAGGCCCTGCAGAACCAACAGTAGAGCCACCGTGGTGTGACGCTCTTTATAGAGGTCAGCTACTTAACACATTCCAAGAAACCTATATATACAATAGTTCAACCACATAGACATAACTATACCAAAAGGTCAACACTGACTTATTACTTGAAACAACACGAAGACAACAAAATGAAAACACAACTGGAAATACATTCAAGAAAGACCTGAGTTATATACTGCACACTATATGAAGCCATCTACTCCTGCCTCATGCTTAAAAAGAAGAGGAAAGAAGCAGATTAGAAGGTGATTGAGATTTATCTCATTAGGACCGCCTCAGCTGTTATTTCAGTCACTCCTTTTCTGATCATAGATCAACTTCACTTTTCCTCATTTCCTTCTCGAATTTCTTGAGATGTTTTTAAGTAGAAAACATTGTGTACTTTGCTGTGAGAACTCCATGATAGCTCTCATTTCTTTATAATTGCCTTCTTCAACAATAAGACATAGGGTATGGCAAACAGCATTGACATTTGTTATTTAAGAAAGCTCAGCTTTGACTCATTGCTTTTCTTATTGGTGATAAGGAATGGAAGATAGAAAGCAATGTTGGATGTCACAAGGCCATCTGGGGGGGGCAGGGAGCCAGCACATGGGGACGGAGAGGATGGGGAGCCAGCACCTGAGGACGGAGAGGATGGGGAACCAGCACATGAGGACGGAGAGGATAGGGAACCAGCACATGAGGACAGAGGATGGGGAGCTAACACACGAGATGAGGAGATGCTGCACCACTCCCTGCTTCTCAGGGAAGGGAATGAAGCTACTGGGAGAAACTGCCTCAAGCTCAGATTTCTGAGCCAGATATCAGACAAAATTTAGGTGTTCACATGATAACTTGGTTGGGAGATATACCTCACTTGGACAGTTGAGATTAAGATTGAATCAGAATGATTTGGCCAGTGCTCTTCTCCATCTGAAGCATAAGAGGGACCCAGACCCTTCCTTCCTACCACACCATCGTATCTAAGGGCCAAGGGCAGCTCTCCTCCACTCAATCACATTTTTAGGCAGAAGTCACTTTACTCGGTGTAATCACTCAGACCAGCCATAAGCATACTATTTGTTTTTGTTTTTGCAAAAGGGTCTCACTGTGTAGCCTAAACTGGCCTGCCAATCACTATAGAGTGCAGGCTGCCTTGAAGTTGTTTCAGTGTTCCTATTTCAGACTCCAAGTTGCTAGGATTATGGAAATATTTTTCCACTCCAGAAGAATCAGCCAACCACACGCATGCTCACTTGGAAGCATCCTCCTAATGAGATGTTTTTGTTTCATCTTCATGTACAAATAATCCAAGTATTCCAAGCATGCGATCTTTTTTAATTTAGATCCTAGCAGCTTGGTAAGTGCTAGCACTCCTCTGGTTCTTGCTCACACTGAGTGCCAGTCTGCCATCTTCATGGAGATTTCCTACACATCTATTTTGGGTGCCTAAAACACTTAGCATGCACAATACACAGATACTCAGTTCATTTGTGATCAGTCTGCTCTTACAGATTTTATTATGGCAACTGTAGAGTTTGTAATTGAAAACATTTATTGCACTTATTAGTGTGTGTGTGTGTGTGTGTGTGTGTGTGTGTGTGTGTGTGTGTGTGTGTGTGTGTGTGGGGGTGTGTGTGG